TTTATATTTTATCAAATATTTGGGTAATTGATTGTCTTTGTTTACCCTAAAATTCACTTTAGAGTTTTTTTTTCTGAAATGTAGGATTTTCTAGACCTTTGCAGTAATATCGTGTGACATAGAAAATTGTAATTACCACTAGTTTATTCTCTAGGGAGTCTCCTTTCAGAAAATATATCATGTTTTGGGGGGTTTATGTAATTTTCAGGCCTAAAATGATTTTTAAATGTGTGCGTAAAATGCAAAAACGGCTCTGGCAACCACAGGGTTAATCCATCAAAAATCTGGAGCTATGTTTTGTAATAATGAATCAATATTTCAGGACTCCAAAAGACGAAGTAATTGTCTGTAGAACGCTGAGGGTATAACTACCTGAAGAGATGGGTAGAAGTCATAGCCAAAATATATCCAAAAGTGCTTGGGAATGACTGCACTTGGCTTAGTATTTCTCACATCAGATTGTCCTCCATAAAAATTAAGTATAAGAACAAGAAGTTTTTATTGATAAACTCCGCAAAGCCAGAAATGTAGCTTTCAGGAAAAGGAGAAAAAAATCCACTTGCTGGCCACAAGATCAATGGTAAGCAATGTACCGTACTTGTTGATCATAATACGGCTAATATAGTGCATGGACCCTCGAACTTACATATCCCCCTGTGCACGGGGTCTGCATGTACCCAAAAGCCATATTCTGGCCTTGTGGATAAATCAGAAAAAGAAACCCCTAGACCAGGGGTACTGAATTAAAATTCAAGGAGGTCTGGTCAATAAAATGTTCTTCTGGCCGAGGTCCAAATAGGGTGTGTCCATCAGTGTGCCCCCTTACATTAGGTGTCGCCATCAGAGTGCAACTTTTCATCATGTATTCCCATCATATCAGGTGTGCCCATCAGAGTGCCCATTTACATCAGGTATCCCCATCACATTGCCACCTTACTTCAGGTATTCCCGTCAGAGTGTCCCCTTACACTCAAAGTACCCCTTTCTATCATATTTCCCCATCAGAGTGCCCCTTTACATCATATTCCCCATCAGAGTGCCCCTTTACATCATATTCCCCATCAGAGTGCCCCTTTCTATCACATATGCCCATCAGAGTGCCTCCTTCCACAGTATGTGCTCATTTGTGCCCCCTTAACATAAAATGTGCCCATCAGAGTGCCCCTCAACATTCAATGCGCTCATCAGAGTGCCCCTTAACATAACATGTGCCCATCAGAGTGCCCCTTAATATAAATGTACCCATCAGAGTGCCCCTTAATATAAATGTACCCATCAGAGTGCTCCTTAACATAAACTGTGCCCATCAGCATGCCCCTTATTTTATGTTAAGGGGCACTCTGATGGGTACATTTATATTAAGGGGCACTCCGATGGGCACAAGTTATGTTATGGGGCACTCTGATGGGTACATTTATATTAAAGGGCACTCTGATGGGTACATTTATATTAAGGGGCACTCTGATGGTTACATTTATATTAAGGAACACTCTGATGGGTACATTTATATTAAGGGGCACTCTGATGAGCACATTTATGTTAAGGGGCACTCTGATGGGCACATGTTATGTTAAAGGGCACTCTGATGGGCACATTGAATGTTAAGGGGCACTCTGATGGGCACAAGTTTATGTTAAAGGGCACTCTGATGGGCACATTTATATTAAGGGGCACTCTGATGGGTACATTTATATTAAGGGGCACTCTATGAGCGCATTTATGTTAAAGGGCACTCTGATGGGGTACATGTTTTATATTAAGGGGCACTCTGATGGGTACATTTATGTTAAGGGGCACTCTGATGGCGCACATGTTATGTTAAGGGCACTCTGATGGGCACATTTATATGTTAAGGGGCACTCTGATGGGTACATGTTATGTTAAGGGGCACTCTGATGGGCACATGTTATGTTAAGGGGCACACTGATGGGTACATTTATATTAAGGAGGCACTCTGATGGGTACATGTTATGTTAAGGGGCACTCTGATGGACACATTCTATGTTGTGCCCATCAAAGTGCCCCTTAACATTCAATGTGCCCATCAGAGTGCCCCAGTCAGACTACACCCTACCTTGAGGGCAGACAGGAGCTGTGCCAGGATCCTTGCTGGACACTTGTCTACAGGCAGGGAACTGGAGCCAGAGAGAAAGTGAGCTGAAAGGGATGGGGTGCACATGTGATGTCATGTTGCCATGACAACCGCCCTGCTTAGCGGCAGATCTGTCATTAAGGACTGGCGGGCTGGTGGTCTGGGTGGCAACACTGCTGGGGCCGTTTATGGTCCGCCACTTAGTGACCGCTGCCGTAGACTGTTTTTTGGAGTGTGAAGAAAATGCTGTGTGCCTGGCTGTGTGTGCTCTGAGTTTGGAAATGGGACTGCATTCACCAGTGAGTCCTATGGTGCTGCGCTACAAGAGCATTCATCCCTGTGCACATACTGCCCTAAACGTTAGCACCACTTGTGGTCCGTCCAGCTGCAGCAGCTGCAAGCCTCTCTTAGACTCCTTTTACAGGGCAACCAGGAGACAGTATAAACAGATGGTGGATACATGTTTTTACTGCCTCCTGATCTTCCACCTACAAGCAGAAATGATGCAGCTCAGATGAGTACATATTGCTACGACCGCCATGTTTTGCATCGCTGTGTGTCCATATTAGCACTACAAGCCGAGTTTGACCGGTGAAACCACTTGTCAAACTCTCCCATGTAAGTAAATGGGGTTGCGCAGCCAGGAAAATGTTCCTAACGTGCAGGTTCCTGGAAATAGCTGCTTGTCCCATAATTGCCGCATGGTCCAATAATACACAATTACTGTTTGGCAACAAAAGATTAAAAAGCTGAAAACAACCCCACAAAACAAAGGCATCGGGAGGCACCAGCATTTATGAGGTCAGGTATTGATGTTGGATGAGAAGACCTGGATCATAACTGGTTTTTCAATGGACTACAAAGGTATTTATTAGGTTTGAGGTCAGGGCTTTCTCCACACCAAGCTGGTCCAACCCTGTCTATAAGGAGATGGCTTTGTATGCTGTGGCTCAGGCATACTGGAACAGAAAAGAAATGCCCGCAGCGATAAAAGGAGAAAAGAATTAGCGAAGGGCAGGCATGACTAGGCCCAGAGTGGGAAGGAAGACGTGTGAGGGTTAATGATTGTTTAGAGTTGGTAAAGGATAGCTGGGGGATCTGGTTGGTAGAGGAGAGTGTAGGTGGGGTCTCCTGCACTTTAGGGTGGGGTGTTCTGGGGAGGGGCGTCAGTTGGGAGCTGGACGTAGGAGAGAGAGCTTCCCTCCCGCCCGCCCTGTTTGGTGAATGTTGTGTTCCTCCTGGGGGGGGGGGTTATTTTGGTTCCTGGGCGGTGGTTGGTCTTTGGAGGCGGTTCTTATCTTGGATGTACAAAATGGTGTGGGACCCATCGTTGGTATGGTGTGCCCGGGAACATTCCCAGTTAACCGAGGAAGGTTAACTGGAAGGTGGTGGTGCTGCACTGCGGACGGTATGGTTGTCTCCGAGCTGGTTGGTTGTGGCTGGAGGCCTAGTGGAATATGGTTGTCCGCAGGTGCATTTCGGATCGTTTTGGGGGTGCCTTCAAAGACCAACGACAACTCTTTATGTTTTCTGTTATAAGGAATGGTTGATGTGTTTAAACTTGATTGGTTAATAAAAGGCCGTGTTGGCCATTTTACTCCAAAATTGGTGTTGTGTTTTCTGTAAGTATAGTAAGTAAAGGGGATTGGTATGGAAGGGTAAAGGGTAACGGTGGTGTAGTGGGGTCTGGATGAACCTATCTCGGGTGCACTAGTCAAGGGTCTTCACCAAACTGTTACCATAATTTTGGTACCATACTGCACAACTGTTTAAAACATCTTTGCATGCTGTAGTATTAGCAGTATCCTTCACAGGGAACACCTGAACTCAATTGGTTACGTCTAACCGCTTTTCAGCATGAAATGCGTCAACATTTACTGCTTTTCCTGTGTGACTGAAGTTTTTAACCTTGGAATTATACAATAAAGCTTTTGGATCTCCGATTGTGCAGTTATCCACTTTGTTCTTAGCAAGTCTTCACAGTAGAGAACCAGGCTGGCACTTGCTGATGGGAACAGATTAGAGCAGTGGTTCTCAACCTTCCTAATGCCGCGACCCTTTAATACAGTTCCTAATGTTGTGGTGACCACCAACCAGGGGGCAAAAGGGGATCATGGGGCCCTTGTGTCCTTGCCCAAACTCAAAAAAGCCTATGAAAAAGGTACCAGGAGCATCTCATGGGGCCCCCCACTGACCCCGGGCCCTCGGGCAGTGCCCGAGTTTCCAAATGGTCAGTCCGCCCCTGCCTCCAACCATAAAATTATTTACCCAGTAATTATAATTCATGAAGTGTCGTTTTACCTCCAATACAGCTGCTTTCTACACAGTAGCTGCTTTTTAACAGAGTAGCTGCTTTCAACACAGCAGCTGCTTTCTACACAGTAGCTGCTCTTACACATTGGAAATATGTGTTTTCCGATGGTCTTAGGTGACCCCTGTGAAAGGGTTGTTCGACCCCCAAAGGGGTCGTGACCCACAGGTTGAGAACCACTGGATTAGAGGCTACTAGCTGAGGTGGACTAACCTGGAGCCATATGGTGTTTGTTTTGGGACCTGAACTCAATATTTTGGAGGGGGACAAGCTTTTGACTAAATAGGTATATTTGAAGGTTGGGTTCCAAAACCATTTGTTGACGTGGATCACTTTTGGGTAAAATGAGCCTTTAAGGACCCATGTCAACCTTTGGGCTTGAGTCATTGACATCAGTTTGAGATGCTCCAAAGATCATTCAGAATTTGTCAGATGAATTTGACTTGCAGTTGAGCTCCCTCTGACCTGCATCAAGTAGGTTTGGAATTCCCATAGATTTCTATGCAAACAAAAGTCAATCAACACAGCCCTAAATAAGCCCAGAGACATCTATTACATCCATTTTTTTCTAATTTCTATCAAGCTATCATTGCTTACCCAGGAAAAGTATTTCTGAAGGAAGGACTGTCGCAGGGCTGTAGTAAGGTTGTAGTCTTCTGAGCTGTGATGAGTCTGATGACCGGCCCAAATAATGTTCACCTCTGTGGGGGGGGGGGGGGGGGGGATAAAAAAAATGTGTAAGCAACACAAGTCAAGTGCTGAGCCACCCTGTGCACTCATACAAAGACACGTATATAGGGCTGTTTATAAATCTGCCCTCGAAAGCAAATAGAGTTGAAAAAATGACATCTAGATTAAAGGAACAATACAGTAGACTCATGGTCAAGGACAAGTTTTGCTAGAAATGTATTTGAAAAAAAGAAATGAACATGAGCTGTGCCCTGGAAAGGAAAGAAAATCCTTTGCCATGAAAATTATTTTCTGTAGCAGCATGAGCCAAAAATTAAAGGCTTGGTTGGTTGAATTTCGAAATCAATGGTGGCGCCATCGGATTACAAAATGCACAAAATGTCCAATTTTCTAAAGAAAATTAGTTCAAAATTCGACCCATGTATGGCCTGCATAAGTCCTGAAAGCAGCTGATACCCATTAACCTACAGGACAGAGTACTTCTACACCCAGTGGACCAAAGAAGGGAGAGGGCGGTCAGGTGCAATACCCAACTAATTCTCCCTGGGGCTACTTCATCCTTACGTCTCGGAATCTATTGCTCAAGGACACTCTCAAGACAGCCAGGTGGATGAGATTTTCATCTGGGGCCTGAGGAAGTTCACCTAAGTGGACCAAGTGTTCCTTGCAAAGACTGTGTACTGATTTTTGTCCTTTTTTGCTAAGGATTTTTGTCCTCCAAAGTTGTACAGTTCTATTGGGCATCCCATATACCTTAAGACACCATCCAAGGGGTTAACCCCTACTAAAACAACAAAAACAAGCTCAAGGACTGTTTTAGTGACTTTGGATGAAAGTGTGGAAAATTCGCCTTGCTTGGCTGTGCAGAGCTTAGGGGGACCCAAAAACTCAGTGGCCCTCGAGGAGGGTAGCGCTACATTTAGACACCCTCAGAAAAGTACCGTATACAAACAATACAGACAAAGACGTGATAATTGATGCAGCTGAATGACATTGTTTGTACTGGCCTGAGTCTATTCCCATCACCATCTGCTATACAAATCATTATCAGGCCTTAGGAAATTTCAGAGTCATCTTCCCAATGATGTCATAACCACAAGTATATGAGTGCTATAGCAGCAAGGAAAGCTGTCACATTGATTGGGGACCGATGCTGACTAAACCACATTAGCAGCCTCTCTGCAGCCTTCACCACATGGTTAAACTTCCAGCTGTGATTCGAGGTCGGCCCAAAAATAGAAGCAGCTGCACTACTATAGACAGGGCATGCGATTTTTGCCATGGCAAAAAAAAAAAAACTTGATGCAGCTGTGAGAAGATCCATGATGCAATGGAAGACGGAACAGAAGCTGTGGCAGAGTAGGGGAAAACTCATCATTCCGTAGCATGTGCCCAGTGAGGGATTAAAAGTCACTTTATGTATGGGACGGCAGCCAAGAGGAGCAAATTCTAACACTCAGGCCTGAAATAGACTCTGATTTTCAGGATTGTGCAAAATGGAAAAATAAACATACTTGTTTTAACAGGCCAAGCCAAAGAGCAACATAACTAATGTAATATTGAGATGCACTTGTAATTTCTTACCGAACTATACGATGGAAAAGAGGTGGTAGGGAGGTTGGGAGCCTATGCATAGCTAATATACAGTATATGATTTTACATTTTTGCTTGTTGAAGAGATTTCCTTTAATTTTCTGTTTCAGAGACGCAACAGGCAGTAGGGGGAAAGCTCTACAACAGGGTTTCTCAACTAGGGTTCCTCCAAAGGTTGCTAGGGGTTCCTTGAGGAAAGAGAAATTTCTGCCTCTCAGATAAGTCCCACTGGCACCATTGATCCTTTTAGCTATCTGTAAGAGGGTAATTCTTCCCAATGACCACACGTGTGAGGAGCATTCTTCCCACTGACCATCAAACTAATGTATCATGAGCAGGGGCGGACTGACCATTTGGAAACTGCCCGAGGGCCCGGGGTCAGTAGGGTGCCCCATGAGATGCCCCTGGCACCTTTTTCATAGGCTTTTTGAGTTTGGGCAAGGACACAGGGGCCCCATGATCCCCTATTGCCCGGGGGCCCCATGAGTTGTCAGTCCGCCCCTGATCATGAGTTGTAGATATAGTAATTTTTAGCAGAGGCCGGAAAGTTATTTCAAGGGTTCCTCTATGTTGAAAAGTTTAAGAAATTCTGCTCTACAATGTGGGCGAGAGTTCCACTCTAAAGTGGAACTCCCTCTTAAAGTGACTCTAAAGGTAAATTTTACTTTAATATTAAACATGTTATACTTACCTGCTTTGTGCAATGGTTTTTGCACAGAACAGCCCAGGACCCTCCTCTTCTGGGATCCCCCGCTGGTACTCTTGGCTTCTTCTCCCTTCCGAGTGTACCCATAGCAAGCTGCTTGCTATGGGGGCACTTGTGTTGGCTTGATCCCCAGCAGGGCTGTGTGTGTCTATTGACACACATAGCACAGCTCGGCACCCCCCCTCCCATCTCACAGACTGTGATTGACAGCCACAGGAGCCAATGACTAGTGCTACTGCTTCCATATCCAATGAGGGAGAGATTGAGGAGAGAGCCGCTTCTCTCGGGCACAGCGGTGGATCGAGATTGGGCTCAGGTAAATATTTAGCACCTTGACGCTAACGTTACACAAATTTGCAGCTTCTCGGCGGATAAACCTTGACGCTGAGGGGCTACCTATTTGAGTACCCGATATATGCAAACAAGTGCCAAGAGAGCCACTCCCCGTACGGTTACTGGCAGCTCACGAAAAGATTTACGATCATGTGACCACTGTGATAGTCATTCACGGCAGGCACCTGATCCTATCCCCTGCTCAGAAACCCCTTAAAGCAGTGGTTCTCAACCTTCGTAATGCCGTGACCCTTTAAAACAGTTCCTCATGTTGTGGTGACCCCCAACCATAAAATTATTTACCCAGTAATTATAATTCATGAGTGTCGTTTTACCTCCAATACTGCTGCTTTCAACACAGTAGCTGCTTTCTACACAGTAGCTGCTTTCAACACAGTAGCTGCTTTCTACACAGTAGCTGCTCTTTACACATCGGAAATATGTGTTTTCCCGATGGTCTTAGGCGACCCCTGTGAAAGGGTCATTCGACCCCTAAAGGGGTCGTGACCCACAGGTTGAGAACCACTGCCTTAAAGGGTCGGGAGGAGTCAAGGGGACTGGGGAGCAGAGAATGCATTAAGGTAAAAACTTTAAGCCTTCATGACTACTTTAAGCTGGACATACATGGATTGAGATTCAGTTGGTTCAGCAGGAACCAGGCAACTTTCAATCCATGTATGGCTGTTTCTGTTCATGAGACGTTGATCTATAGATTGACTTGTCATGATCCGACTTTTTTAAAAAAATTCGCAAAAAATTACAACATTTCCGAAAAATTGGCAGCAACGCTGATCGGTGTATTCTGATGTCGGGGGAGTCCCACTGTCAAAATACGATGACACAATGAAGAGAATTCCAGCATTCACCTCAAATGTGTGGATGGGAAAAAAACAACACCATGTATGTCCAGCCTTAGACAGTTGTCACCAACACCCATGCCTCCATTGGAAACTTTTTCCCTCTACTCCCGTTCTGGTGTCAACTCTAAAATTTGGGATTTCCAAATAATTTTCTGTCTCAATGAAAATGGTCACCAGGATCAAATAGATGGGTCAACCTCCCCTGCAGGAGGGATGAGGGTTGGGAAGTGGGTTAGGGGACTCTGTGGTAGACATGGTGGCCCTGTAGGGTATGAAATTTCTGGAGGGAACCACCGTGGGAGGTTAGGAGCACTGTGAGACATTGTTGGAGGCTGAGGCACTATGGGGGGCTGGAGGCACTGCAGCAGGCTGAGGGAGATTGTGGAGGCTGGGCGGCACTGTGGGAAGTTGGGTGACACTGTAGAGGCTGAAAGCTCTAAGGAGGCACTGTATGGCCACTGTGGAAAGTTGGGGGAGGCAGTATGAGAGCTGGAGGGCACTGTGAGGAGTTAAGGGATCTGCAGCTTGCTGGAGGCCCAGGAAAGGGCAGGCCATGGCCCAGTGGTTGAAAACCATTGATCTAGAGCTTCCATTTCTGGATTTGCTACCCCTACATTTTCAGTCCACTTGGCAGAAGTTGTTAAAAGTGCTAGAACGCAAGACTGGCCTTTTTCTGAGAGCCTTTATCAATCTGTCTAACTACAGTATCCCAGATCCCTATCTGATCAGCCTAACCCATACACAGCTACCCTGCTAACCATCTGAAGAGCTCCTTGTATGCTTGCCAATGGTTTTTAACCTATGTTTAACTGGATCATACGTTTAATTAGACCGCAGTTTTTTTTTGTTGTTTATTTGAAAGTTTGTTCTGTGTATTAAGACAAACACCAATCAAAAAAAATACAAATTATTCATGGTTGCTTCTGGATTGGGAACTATTTCTATTGTATTTTTAGCATGTGTGAAGACCTTCCCAGCACAACAAGTAAAATGCTTGGCTAAGCAAAATACTTTGGCACCAGTATTAAAGCACAATGGACCACCCATGTACTGCAAAAGTGTAATACGTTTCTTTTGTTATTCAGCTGTGAGTGAATGTAAGACCCGAATAGTGCATCACCTGCAATGGCTGGGTGAGATGATTACCCCTAGGGAGTAATAACTAGTGTTTTTAACAGAGGGAAACATTCATTATTGCACACGAAGAGCATGCTGGATAGTGTTTGTGTGATGAACACCGATCCTTCCCCTTTCCATGGAGAAAAGGGAATAATGTCGAAAGGATCACTTACTTTCGTATAGTCTCCTAGATTGTAAGCTCGAAAGAGCAGGGCCCTCGATCCCCTCATGTATCGCATTGTATTGGTATTGTTCTGTCACATGTTCTGTCCCCTTTGTAATGTACAGCGCTCAGCGAACTATTGGCGCTTTATAAATACTGTATAATAATAATAATAATAATAGTTATCACATCCTGCTCAGCACCCCCTTAGGCTCCGTTCACACTTGTACGACTCC